AAAAAAAAAAAAAAAATTGAAAAGCAGCAAACAATAGAAACCTCTCAAAAAGCTAATTATGTCCTAGAAAAAAAAATCTAAAAATTAAAAATATGAACCCTGAGGAAACAACGAATGAAAGTAAAAATTGGAAACTCCTATGAAAAACTAAAAAGAACTAAGAACGTAGAAAAAAAAAGGCTAAAAACAACTTACAGGGTTTGCTATGGAAAATTAAACGGACGCATAAAGTAACGTATGCAATTATCCAATCTATTACCAAAATATATCTTAATAACGCACCGCTTCCATCATGATTCCTATGACAAGCCCCATAAGAATCGATTGTGATGTTTGCCTTCTCGAGTGCAATCAATGCTTGAAGTCGAAAATTCCGAGCACCACAATTAGATATGAAAGCAGCAGCAAGGGCTTTCTCGGTTTTCGGCTTGACTGGAGCCATTATATCATACTCAGCCCACGAGAAATATCCCACGGGCACATCGGATGAAAGGCTCGTCGTCATCACAACTTTATATCCCCTCCTTTAACATAAGAAACATGCAGTGACCATATTTTAGTAAAGGGAGTAAAAGTATAATCGACCAAGCCAGTTGAAGCTATAGTTAGAAACCACAAAAGATATGCTCAGAAAGAGCCACAACTAGGACTGATTCAGATTAAGGACCATTTCGAAGGATATTGAAAATGAACAGTAGAATTTGCAAAATAAATGATAATTTTCTGGCCCTACAACATTATACTTGTTAGAATTATGTTTTTTCCACATCGATTAGTTACTAGGTTGTTATTGTGTATAAGTGTGGGTTGGGCACCGTTTTCCTTCGAGCTAGCTTTTGGGGATGAGTTCTACCTAATCCCATTTATCAATATTGAACAAAAACAACAATGAGAAGCACTTCTATTATATTTCCAGAACTAAATCTAGAGATTAGTGATTGAACTCTATGATAAGATCCCCCAATCGTATTAAAACAAAATAATCATTTTATTCAAATCTTAAACTCTTATAAATCATCATTCTAGAATGGAGTATCAAAACTATGAGATCCTACGATCTTCAAATCATCCTCCAAACAATAGCGAAATGCTAATATCTATCGATCTAAAAAAAAATCTTAAAAAAAAAAAAAAAAAACACGTGTGCAAGTGAGCCTGTCCATCCAAGTGCCTAAAGCACACTTCCAGGAGATTCAAAACAAGATTCAGAGTAAAGGGCCATAATAAATTTTTGCTTTTGACGAAAAAACAAATACCTGGAAAATCTTGATCTACGATTCAGAACAAGAAATGTAATAGTCTTAAAGTCCCACAGATATGGCTTTAATAAATACAAAACCAAAGAAGAAAAGAAAGCAAAAAAGACAACCACATCATGTGCTTACCCACCGTCTTGCATTTGAAATGTCATTCTCGGAATAATATGTGGCCGACTCCATTGACCTATGAACCCCAGCAACGCCAGGCTCGTGCGAAAGCCCGAATTCAGCATCAATTTTCTTGCCGGCACCAACTTCAGACCCAAACATACACCCAACAGCACAGGTATTCCAATCCTACGAATTGCACTAAGTTAAAAAAGAATCGCACTTTTTTTTTTGCAAATGAATCCCCACGAAAAGCACCAACAGCTAGACAAAATCACATTTGTGATTACTGCATTAGTTAAGTTATTTTTGTTAGTTATATAATCTGGAAAATTCATATAGTTTGGCACTAAAGAATTTTAACTCCTACAAAAGAAATAAAACTGTAATCCAACTTGGATTCTCAAGATAAATCATCCCACAAAAGAAAACCCAACAAAACAAAATTTTAATGATCGCCCAAAAATGGGCATAACTTTTGCTACAAAACCAGAATAAAGAACTTTACCTCATAAGCCCCGCGCACGAAAATTGGGTCCTTTTTGAAATCCCTCGAGTAAGGTACAGAGTCCTCTTTCTCCAACCACGCCTCACAGCTTTCCTCGGGCTCGGAGGCCCGACCCTGACCCAGACCCGGACCGTGATCCTGATCCTGATCCAGGCCCGACTCCACTGCATCATCGGCTGACCAAGAGGAAAACGATGAGGCCCCGGTGAAGTGGTAGAACGAGTCGGCCCACGAGTTGACCAGGTCAGCGTTCTTCACCATGTCGAGCCGGCCCAGAAACGTGATCTCCCCAATCACCACTAAACCCACCAAAATTGGGAGAAAGTTGGACCATTTCTTCTTGTTCGAATTCGAGGGGACTGAAGCAGACGGCGATGAATACGACGTCGTGGGGATGTTCCGATCGGAAAAATTCTCCGGCTTCGGAAGCTGTCTGTGGCCAGCAGTAGCCATGAGCTCGAAACAAAAAAAAAACAAAAAAAAAAATGGATTCCTAAAATTGAAACTCAGGACAAAAATGGTAAGGAATCTTGATTTTCTGAAAAAACTACGGCGTGTGAAAGGTAAGAGATGACCTTCCCCGACAAAAAGAACCAATTTTTAAACGGAACCCTTTAAGGTCAGGGAAAGAGGGTTAGGGGAGGAATTTAAAGTCAATTGCTAAAAGGGTTTCACGGGTTCGTATTTTCCATAGTTTGTAATGATTCTCTTTTTGAAGACCCAATCCGCCATGGGAGGTCCAGGTCAGGGGAGGGTTTCTGTAGACTAGTATTTTTCACATACTTACCGCAGTTTTTTACATTTTACTTTTTATTTTCTTCTTTTTGGGGCGTTTTCTATTTTCGTACTAGTTTATTCCAATATTTGCTTCTAAAAATAAGATATTTAAAGAGTTGGGCCATTAGGCCATGTCTACCACACACTTACATAAACAACACGTTCATGTTGGGGAAGATGTTACGGTTCCGTTACGGAATCATTTCATCAGGGTTTATTAACCGTCAGAAATAGTGATAATTCAGATAAAATGCTTCCGTAACGGGACCTTATAGTGTTTCCCCTCATACTACTATGGATTTTATAACTAATTAGTTAGTGTTTTGGAAAAACAGTGACAACACAGATAAGCTAAAGATTATGTAGGCAAAAAGTAGTTTTTAGGTCCGTAAAATTGCTCCAAAAAGTCTTTGTATGCTCACAAATGTTTAATTCGTAAAATTCCTTTAGAATAAAAGTTTTTATCACTAATTAAATGTGTTGTCACCATCTTGGTCTGTCAAAAAATTTATGGAGTTATTGGAGG